TCAGCAGGGGGTCTGCTTCTCCCTCTCCCCCCTGCTCATGCTCTCTCTCTCTCACTATCTCTCTCTCTCAAATAAATAAATAAAATCTTTAAAAATATTAGTTCAGATGAAAGAAGACTTTTGTGAATTCTGGACCTTCTTACCCTTCAGAAAAAGCAAGTGAAAAATTAATTTGTCCCAGGATCATGAGGAGGCTGTTTCCAAAAGGCCATAATCAAAAGATTTCCCCCTTTCACAAGCACTTGGGAAATGCAGATAGAAGCACTGTCTTCCCACGAGAGAGAGAAAGAAACAACAGTGAGTAAAAAGTATACAGTCCTGGTCTGAACATCTTGGGGAAGTGGTCTTGTCAGATTTCATCTGCTTCAATTCTGGTAAATCTTTACTTTCAGGACACCAGAAGGTGTGCAGATCCAGTCGGGATTAGGTGCTTTTTTTTTTAAAAAAGATTTTATTTATTTATTCATGAGAGACAGAGAGAGAGAGAGAGGCAGAGGGAGAAGCAGGCTCCCCGCGGAGCAGGGAGCCCGATGCGGGACTCGATCCCAAGACCCTGGGACCATGACCTGAGCCGAAGGCAGACGCTTAACCATCTGAGCCACCCAGGCACCCTAGGTGCTTTCTTTAGATGCATTATGTGAATTCAAGAGTCTCTAACCTGGAGTTTGGCAGCAAAAGGGTTGGTTACCAGTTCCTGAAAAAGGGTTCTTCCAGGGAGGTTGAAGAGTCTCTCTGGAGGTATTTCTTCTAACAGATGAAATCTCCAGGCTGCAAGGTATGATGCTTAAGGTCATCTGTCTCCCAGGAGTGCCCTGTGAAGATTGCTCTCCCAAAGTACAGCTATTTTTAATAGAAGCAATTAGGCCTTTACACTAGCGAAATATATCTCCTTTATCAACGTTAGGTCAAAGGAAGCAGGGGCCAAGTATATTGGACATTCCATGGCTATCTCAGACTTTATGAGTTCTCAAAGGGGTAGGTCTGAGATTTAGGGGGTAGGTCTGAGAGTTTATAAGTTCCCAAGGGGGTAGGTCTGAGATTTAGAAGGACCAATGGCAATGGTTTAGGCCAACATATTTTGCAGCCTACAAACTTTGCCAATTGAGCCTTAATAGGGCCATTAGTGTGTTTGACTACCCCTGAGGATTGAAGATGATACGCACAATGTAAGTGGTATAAAACCAGCCAAACAGCACAAATTTGTTGAAACATGTGACCAGTAAAATGGGTTCCCTGATTCCTATGAAGTTTGAGAGGGATTCTTCAAGTAGGGGTAACCTTTTCTTTTTTTTTTAAAGATTTTATTTATTTATTTGAGAGAGAGCATGAGAGGGACAGAGAGCATGAGAGGGAAGAGGGTCAGAGGAAGAAGCAGGCTCCCCGCTGAGCAGGGAGCCCGATGCGGGACTCGATCCCGGGACTCCAGGATCATGACCTGAGCCGAAGGCAGTCGCTTAACCAACTGAGCCACCCAGGCGCCCAGGGGTAACCTTTTCTAACAGAAGAAGCATTGACCTGTCTGTAAGAGAAAGCTTTGGTCCAGTGAGAAAATATACAAACAATGAACTAAAACATATTTTTCTATGAACGGGGGAAGCTGTACGAAATCTAAATAGTTTGTATGGACAGTTTCCCCTGGATTATACCTTGGGCAGGTGGGAGAGCAAGGTAGGCACTTTTTGTGACCTTATTAATATTTCCCAACCAACAGTGGTTCATGGATGCTAGCTAGCATTTTGCCAGTAGACCAATAGTTTAATGCATGTACAGTGGTAACTAGTGGTGGTTTTGAAATTTCTGGTGGGAACAGATTGTTATTTGGTCCAACCAGAGTTCTCTTTTTAGCAGGCCAACATTTGCTAGATTTCCAATATTGCTTTTCCCTCTGGGGCCAGTTGTTGGATATCTCACCAATTTTTCCAAAACTATCATTTAGGAGAACATCTCTTCAGACCATGGCATCTGACTTTGGGTCAGGTCATGATCCCGGGGTCCTGGGATCCAGCCCCAAGTGGGGCTCCCTGCTCAGGAGGGAGTCTGCTTCTCCCTCTGTCTGGCCCACCCCCCCATGATTCTTTTCTAAGAAATCTCGGCCCAATAAATGAATAGAGGCAGAGGAACTCCAAGGAGAAGAGTGTGTATCTCTCAAACAGCCTCCATAAAAGGGAATAGGTTCGGATGGAAACCTGTTGAGGTTTGAGCCCCTGCCATATGAGCTGTTTTAGTACTGAAAGAAGGGGTAGCTCATTATCAGTGGGGTCAGGTGCTGAGAGCGTGGCTTGAGAGTCATTCCCAGTCTGGAGGGGATTCTTGGGGCCAGTTAAGAGGGGAGGATTGGGAAGAGGCTCTGTAGCTCCTTGGGTACCCTGACACTGGGAATTAGGAAGACCCTGGAAAGACTAACCAGAAAGCTGGAGGTGCCCGGGGTGCTAAAACTTGTAACCATCTTTTTTCCAATGCCCTGGATCTTTCCAGTAATAGCAGAAACTAGATGGTTTCTTTCATTTGGATGCAAGGGAGCTGGTTTGCCAAATTAACTAAATGTGAATTGAACAGTTTCCCAGTCCCATCCTTGTCCTTTTAACTAAAAGAGAAGGATCTGGGTTTAGCCCATTAATAAACAGAGTTAAATGCTGCCTGGTGGATTCAATATCTCAAAGGAAGAACAGAACTTTCTGGTTTTTGGTTTTTGTTTTAAGATTTTATTTATTTATTTATTTACTGAAACTCTGTGCGAGCAGCGGGAGGAGCCGAGGGAGAGGGAGAGAGAATCCCAAACAGACTCTGCTCTGAGGGTGCGGGGCTCAATCCCATCACCCTGAGATCATGACCTGAGTCCAAATCAAGAGTCGGACACTTAACCGACTGAGCCGCTCAGGCGTCCCAAGACCAGAACTTTGTTAAAAGACAATTTGGAGGGCACCTGGGTGGCTCAGTTGGTTAAACGACTGCCTTCAGCTCGGGTCATGATCCCAGGGTCCTGGGATCAAGTCCCACATCGGGCTCCCTGCTCAGCGGGGGAGTCTGTTTCTCCCTCTGACCCTCCCCCCTCCAGCTTTTTCTCTCTTTCTCAGATAAATAAATAAAATCTTAAAAAAAAAAAAAGGGTCACAATGCAGAGGTTGTTTTACACGTTCTCAATGTGTAATATCTAATGGAGCAGTCGGGGTGTTTCTCTGAGTTGGGGTATAATGTGCCCCATTCATCCCCAGAGTGCTCTAGGGGGACAGATCCAGGCTTTCCCCTCTCCAGGCCCCCTCCCTCTCGTGCATCCAGGATCCTCAGTAAAGCTCAAGGCAATGGAGGATAGTCAGAAGAGAGGCCGGCAGGGACAAGGGGCCCCCGCCCTAAGAGGAAACCACCCTTTAAAGGATTTTACACGAGCTTGCTTCGGCCGCACAGATACCAACATTGGAATGATACAGAGAAGATGAGCAGGGCCCCTGTGCAAGGAAGACAAGCAAATTCGTGAAGCGTTCCATATTTTTTCTGGAAAAAAAAAAAAGGGATTTTACACTCACCCTGGAAGGAGCCCTCTGCCCTTTCCCCTGTGAATAGACAAAAACCTGATTGGATGACAGGCGCCTGGAGGGTTAATCAGATCAAAACAGCTCCTGCCAACAAACCCACAAAAACTCCTAGACTTAGAAACTCCAGTGGCCACCTTCTGCCGTCCCCTCCCTCTTCGGGAGGTCTGTACTATCGCTCAATAAACTTTGTATTGCTGCACACCCACCCCTCTGTCGGGTCTACACCTCTTCATTTTTTGAAGCGGCGTGACCAAAAACCTGGGGCACTAAAGAAAAAAAAAAAATCCAGCAACAAAAGTTGAGGTCACTGGGAACAGGGCCCATTTCTGCCCAGCCCTCCCTTCCAGCTTGGGCTGGCCCAGCTGTTCTCCGTCTGCTGAGGGGAAGCTGGTGCTGGGGAGCCCATCTACAAAGTGGAAAATTACAGAGATCTTGGCTCTAGGAAGTCAGTGTCACCAAGTATCTTAAAACGGTTCTGCCCTGAGAATGAGGGAGGCCTGATCCTCTGCTTCTGGGCTACATTCAAGGCTGGGGCAGCCACTGTACAGAGATTTTGAATGAAGACTTTCCCTCCACGTCAAGTGGCCTCCCCCACAGAGGCCTGGACACAGAGCACAGCATCAACTTCCTTGCCTCACAAACCCAACCATGTTACCTGATACTGGCTGGAAGGGCTGGGTCTGTAATGTTCTAGAGTCTGGGGCCCCTCAGTCCAGACCCCACCCTCCCTCCTTCCTCCACAGCAGAGACTTGAAGCCACTTGAAAGAGAAAAAGTCTTGTTAAACTTTATTCGCTGAGACATGGGCCTACACCTTACATAACAATTTATGTGGCTCTAACCTGAGCGACCAAGGTTACATAAATCATGCACAGGACTGGAAGGAGCTATTTACTATACAATTATAGAATTCAGAGACACCAGTTACCTGACTATTATTCTGTACAAAGGAGATCATTTCAAGTTAAACAGTCTTTCTCCCAGAACAATGGAACCTATTCATTTACCGAAGGAGCCAGGCTTGCCCTCTGGGGCCAAGCCTCCATCCGAAACCGATGACCGCACCTGTCAGTAATCTGGGAGGAAATGCAGGAGAATTACGAATCTTGTAAATCACATAGGGTCTGTCTGGAAGAAAAGTTCTGCGAAGAAATTCAAAGGGCTCAAAGAACAAATGAGCTTAAAGATATGACAAAACAGAGAAGGACTAAAAGTGAGTAGGCACCTCGGGGAAGAAAGGCAAAAACCTCCGCTAAGATAATTAAAGTAGTTCGGTGCCAACAAAGTCATGAAATAGAGTGCGCTCTTATTTTGGACCACAATGCAGGAAGGAAGTTAGGCTATGAAAAAGACAGCAGCTCCTACTCTTGAAGATACATTCTTCAATAAATGGTGTTGGGCGCCTGGGTGGCTCAGTTGGTTAAGCGACTGCCTTCGGCTCAGGTCATGATCCTGGAGTCCCGGGATCGAGTCCCGCATCGGGCTCCCTGCTCGGCAGGGAGTCTGCTTCTCCCTCTGACCCTCCCCCCTCTCATGTGCTTGCTCTCTTTCATTCTCGCTCTCTCAAATAAATAAATAAAATCTTAAAAAAAATAAAAATAAATGGTGTTGAGGTAACAAGCTAACAATCTGAGAAAGATCAAATTTGATACAAATTTACACCAAACACGTATGTATGAATCAAAGATTTAAATATTTTAAAAATGAACCTATAAAAGTCCTAGAAATGAACATAGGTGATTTCTTTCCAATAATCTTGGCTTAGAGAAGACTTTTGTAAAAAGGCATAAACCCGGCCACCATCCAGAACAAGACTGTTAAAATGGATCCAGTAGTAATAAAAGTTTGCTGCACAGTGAAAAGAAGGGGAAAGTTTTCTCTACCCTCACCGTCTTCCAGCTGGACTACGAATTAAATTTACATGAGGCAGATTGTCAGGAGAAAAAAAGTTTTATTATGTGCACACAGAGGCCCAATAACCAGAGATATGAAGAAGTGACCAAAGCAGGCAGTTTTTATACTTTTTGGACAGAAAGACAATAAATCTGTGAGAAATTGACAGGATGAGAAAACTGAACTTTGGGAGCTTCAGTTAGTAAGGAATTCTAAACAATTTTGCTGGGTTAGTAAACGAGGAAAAAGTAATAAGGATTGTCTGCAGTCTTCTCGGCTCTAAATTTCCCATCTCTGTTGATAAGGATGTCTCTTGACCTACTGGTAAAGGGAGGGTACCTTTCACACAGGAGATTTATTTCCTGCTCTGGGGTGGGGGGGACCCATGAGGATCTAAATGTCCTTGCACAGTCTCTTAAGTAACTTTTATTTAAAATCATCAATATCCAAGGGCGCCTGGATGGCTCAGTCGGTTAGGCGTCAGCCTTTGGGTCAGGTCATGATCCCAGAGTCCTGGGATCGAGCCCCATATCGGGCTCTCTGCTCAGCAGGGAGACTGCTTCTCCCTCTCCTCCCCCTCCCCCTGTGCTATCTCTCACTTTATCTTTCTCTCAAATGAATAAATAAAATCTTTTAAATAGATAAATAATAATCAATATACCAAACTGGTACATTTTGAGGCAGTCTGCCCTTGGCCCCAACAAGGGCAAAAATCACATAAATAAAAATCAAAATGTAAATGACAAGCCAGGAAAAAAATAATTGCAGGCTCTACACGACAGATAAAAGGGGTTGTTCCTTTAATTTACAATGATAGCACACAAAGCCGGAAGTAAAATACTAGCAACCCGATTGAACATTTAACAAAAGATCCAGAAAGCCCTTCATAGGGCGAAAAATGCAAATTGCTTGTGAACTGGAGAAAGGATGCTCAACTTTGCTCATAATTAGGGAAATGCAAATTAAAACAACAATAAGATACAATTTTTCACCTCACAGAGTACAAAAGATAAAAAAATGTATAGCGTTGACTAGGGTGTGGAAATAAGCACCTTTATAAATCTTGGGGAAAGTATTTTGTTTCGTTTGGGGTTTTAATATTGTTGGTTTCTTGGTTTTTTGTTTTTTTGTTTTTTTGTGTGTGTGAGTAAAGCGATAGACATTTATTAAGTGAAAATACAGAAAAAGCTCTCAAGAGTGAAAGGGGTCCTGAAAGGGTTGCCCTTTTTGGGTTTTTTTGATGAAAGTTTTTGAAAAAAAATCTATCAGAATTTTAATGGACACGTGTTTCAACACAACTTTGTCCTTCAGGAATACATCCTAAAGATGTGTGCGTCAATATCTCTGAAGAGAGATGTTATCACAAAATTGGTTGTCATAGTGCAGATTGAAAACAACAGGTGTGCTCATCAGGGGAGGACTGGATAAATTCGTATGGGGCATTAACACAGTGGAATACCAGGGCAACAAAAAGACTGAGGTAGATCTCTATGTGCTGATATAGAGGGCTGTCCAAAACACATCATGAAATGAGAAAAGCAAGAGGGAGAATAGTATTTCCATGTGTGCTATTTGTGAAAAACCAGGACCACTAGCATACATCACCCACGCATGCATATGAACAAAGGACTTCTCAGTAGCTAACAGTTGCTGCCTCTGGAGAGGGTGACTAGGGGCGGGGATGCGGGGAAACTTACCTTTCCGTAATAGGTGGGTTTTTGGTTTTGTTTTTGTTTTTTTAATGCACTCAATATCTAAAGTGAACAATCTCTTTAATTTAGAAAGGATTGGGAACGTGCTTTTCTGTAACCATCTTGTAGCAACTATCCAAATAAAAAATATTTTAAGAGCACCTGGGAGGCTCAGTCAGTTAAGCATCTAGGGTCCCGGGATCCAGCCCTCCCTGCCCAGCGGGGAGACTGGTTCTCCCTCTCCCTCTGACCCTCCGCTCTGCTCACGTGCTCTCTCTCTCAAATAAATAAAGAAATCTTTAAAAAAAATATTTTGATCATGACTTAATAAAACAAAATGTGTGCTTTGGTGGGGTCTGGGATGGGTGAGGTGGGGTGAGGTGGGACATATGCCAAGAATACAAAGGAATTTGGAACAACTATTTTGTTGTAAAATAGATAGATAACCAGATACCTAATACAGACACCAGATAACTCCTAATCAGTACAGTTTATCTGCTTCCCACATGATTTGATATATAATATTTTAATTTTTATTCAGATATTTTAGGGATAAAATATATTTTGCATGATATGACTATGCTTTCTTTTAGCTAGTATTACCTGACATGTAATTAATGTTCGTTTTTTTCCCTTTCAACTCAATGGGTCCTTACAGTTTATTTATGTCTTTGTAAACAGTATAGATCTGGCTTTTGTTAGTCATCTGACACAAAAATTTCTTTTTCTTTAAAAAAAGATTTTATTTATTTATTTGACAGAGAGAGAGAGACAGTGAGAGAAGGAACACAAGCAGGGGGAGTGGGAGAGGGAGAAGCAGGCTTCCCGCCGAGCAGGGAGCCCGATGCGGGGC